TTAGTTTTGATTCCTATTATAAGATTTTTATATTAGTTTACAACGTGGATTTGGGGACAATGAATACAGAGAGGCCCATATCGAATATTGTCAGAACTCAGATGTATATATAATTCTCAAATGGCATATATGCAAAATGGACAGAACACAATTTCAGATTAAAACACTCGTGATTCCCATCTTTGTTCTTTTTCCCTCGTGACCTAATTGCCCAAATGATCATCCATGGCTCAGTCTCAGAGTCTAGAATATGTCCAACATTAGATGACAAACTGAACTAAACTAATTCAAATCCAGAGTGGTTTTCTACATCAAGGGACCCTAGCTAGTAAGCTAGCTTTTCCATGATGAATACAACCAGGCCAGTTGGTGATTGTTAGAGTATTAGGGTAGTTTGGTAATTACAATAGGTATTGGTTAGGGTTAGGGTTTGACTAAACCTATATAATGTAATTAGGATTATTAGATTGAATAACTTATTATTATACAATGTAGCCTCTTTTGTTATCTGCCTCCATGCTTCCATTATTTATATTATCAGTGATATCTTCTGTCTAACTAGTATATATATATATATAACATGATGCCAATGCCCAATGCCATATGGCACTCGAATCCACCAGTAGTAGCCTTATAAGTGGTTACATATTTTTATCCATTTCTCACAATTTTTTTGTGTGAAGGTTCAAGAAGATGGAGCTGAAGAGATTAGTATATAACTTAATGCCCTTTGGCATCACATGATAATCAAGCTAAATTTTCATTCAAAAAGGATATTGCCACTTTGCTGTTTCTACCTCTTAAGTCCATTTAGTAATAACAGCATTAATATGAGAAAACAACAAACTTTTAACCTACCAACAACAAAGATGACAACGATATGGTGTTCTTCTGTGTACCCTAATAAATCCAAATGGAATAGTTGTTGTACTTACTTACCATCTTTAATGGTTCATCTTTGTATCTTGTTGCTCATGGAACCTAAACTTATATCCACCATAATACATACATTTGTGGTACTGTTTTTACGGAGATTTGCCGGTAGATGCATGGTTTTAAGTGTGACATTTCAACCATTTAAATCGACTTTTTAACGGTTATGAATTGCAGAAGACCTAACATTCTGATCAGCTCATCAACATTTTTAACATTGCTAGAAAACCCAACGTCAATGTCAGGGCAGCAGGGCTTGAAGCGCTTAACCAAACCGAAATGACAATGTAGAACCCGAACTTGACCCATGTCCAGAATTGAAATGCCAAGGCCCAAGAGGCAAGATCCACTAAATTGAATTGGATTTGGCCCAAACTCAAATAAAAGTTTGGACCGGTTTGTGATAGTTCAACACTTCAACCCAGTAGCTACCCAAAAAAAGTCCAAACCCAGTAGTATATTCTTGGTCTTATTGAAGCAGTTGGGTTTTGGCCCACAAAAGTTTCAAATTGGGCAAAAATTTGGAATGAGTCAAATATAGATTACCAAGACATATTCATGGCTGAACTAGTTGACGGCTCATGACTTAGCAACCAATAAATAATGACAAATTCAAAAGCCAAACTATATATAAGTAGAGAACCATGTCCATTGCAATATCATTCAACCTTTCTTGTTTATAATCTTCTTTCAAACACATCATATACACCATCTGCATTGTTTGATTTGATTTTTAAAAGAGTATGGCAACTAAATTTTCCATCTCATCGACTGTTCTGTTTATCGCTTTCTTGTTCATCAGTGGTGCAATTGCAGAAGAAATTCTGTTCAGTGGTGAGACCCTGGAAGCCAATCAATTTATTGAGAATGGTCCATATAGGTTTATAATGCAAGGAGATTGTAACCTAGTGTTGTATAATGGAAATAGGGCACTTTGGAATTCTGCAACAACTGGTAGAGGCACATCATGCAGGACTACTCTACAGAACAATGGCAACCTTGTGATACTATCAGGTAACGATGTTGTGTGGAGCAGTGGTACTGCACTTGGACCCAACACCTACCGTGTGATTGTTCAAGGTGATGGGAATGTTGTGATCTATGGTTCAGCTCTTTGGGCAACCAATACCGTTCAGAGTACAAGGAGGTTGCTCTGAAGAGACTAGGATGTATATGAGCATATCCACATGTTATTTGTCTGAAATTCTTGAATTTTTTTGTGACATATGTATGAATTATTGCTATTCATTTTCTACATTTGTTTGATTTTGGCTATACTAGCTTAAGTGGCGAGTGTACTGTGTATTTGGGTGTTGAATTTAACAATGACAAAATGCATATATGCATTGATAGAATACTGTACCTTCAATGCATATGCATTGATTTAAAAATTTTTTTAATTT